ATATAGACTATGAAAGTAAAATAGGTTAAGAATTTGAGTAAGGTTTATATACATACACACAAGCACACAAAATAAAAATGACTCATACATAAGGTACTGAAATTCACTCATAATATAAAAAGATACAAAAGAAGAACAATGAATACTGGTGAGAATACTGGAAAATATACCAGGTTGGTAGACATGCAAATTAGTACAACCTTTTTGGGAGTCGACGACAATATATATTGACATGTCTGATTCATATACTTTTAGAGCTAGCTCTCTCAATGGTAGGAGATTACCAATTCCACATTTGTTTATAATAGGACACCCCCCCTCCCAATTCTCTAAGTAGAGTGTCCACTAAAAGGAGATTGGTTCAATTTAGTATTACATACTTTTATTACTTTAATGATATTTATTATTTTAATAATGGTTATGTGCTGATATAACATGACTGTCCAATATATTTTTTAAGGAGTAGAGTACAGTTCAAGAATATGTGAAAAGTTCCATCTCTTTCACCCAAATAAAAATTGAAATATCGGTTATTGCATAAGCAGATAGTATGTCAAGGTAACGATAAAATACCTGTTGGAGGAGTGGTATGTATAGCTATAGCTATATATTTGTGTATTTCAATATTTGTTCCTCTTCTGATTCCTCTCTAGACAAAATATTATCCTTGAGAATTTTGGCCTCTCAGCTTTGTTCATATTTCTTCCCTGACACTCTGATTAGTGTGTCTGACAAATCATAGGAAACCAGAGAATTTTTTTCCTTTTTTTTTTTGTTTCAAGTTTCTATTGAATTCTAGCTAACATACAGAGTAATAGTGGTTTCAGGAGTAGGATTTAGTGATTCATCACTGGCATATAACACTCAGTGCTCAAGTGCACTCCTTAATCCCCATTGTTAAATGAGTGACTGAATTGGTGAATACATGCTCTTAACTTTGAGAGAAATCGTTAGAAATAAGTAAACCACTCTGTGGGTTTCTGTGTATTGCCTGACCATATGATACATATATATGAATTCTCAAATCGGAATTACTAAGTCAAACACCATGCCATTTATTAGCATTTTCAACATAAATTAGAGGAAATAAAAACATTAACGAATTTAAGTTAATGCATGTAGGTAATGCATCACTCTTCAAAAAATTTTTTTCTAGTTAGAATTTTATAAAGATATGAATGTGCATTGGCATGAACTGAGATGATATCATATTACAACTGTGAATCTATAATATGGAACTCATTTTTCAAATACATTTTGACAGGTAAATACGTGTACACTTAAAATTATACCCGAATTGGTTCTCATGAACTCTCACCCGTATTTAGGTATTGTAGTGAAACTCTTATTTAGTCGTATTTTATATCAAAAGGACTGCTCCTAATTACTGTTCTTTCTATGTGTTAATTCTATAACCTCTCAGGGTTCACTTTCTCTGTTCCTTGCTCTGCTATATATTTATATAGCATATATATATACACACACATATATATATATATATATACACACACACACATTGAGTGACTGCTTAAAATTTAAAATTTAACTATTAGTATAAAATAACTTTTTTGCTATTTGCTTTAATTATTATTAAACTTTACATGAATTAATTTACTACTGATCAGAACAGCGTTACATGGAAAGTTGAAGTGATTCAATATTGTCAATCCTATATTCTGCTCTCTGTCTCTGTCTGGGGGTAAAGGAATGGTTTCTCTGTGAGTTAGTCTCTCTGAACTTCAACATTTGGAGTGGTTACATTGTCATCCTGAACTTAGGTGATAAGTGAACAAATCCCAAGATGACTTCTACATATATGACTACTCTGGTTTTTGTTGACTATATTGTTTCCTTGTTGCACATTTACCTAGTGCCCAAGTGTAACGTCCTGTTCCTACCTCTTGGGTATTTAGTGTTTAGTAGTGTAATAGTTTAATAGTAATAGTTTAATTGAGGAACTGGCATGCTATCCCAGCAGTGAAGAAGGTAGTGTTTTCAGGCTTACCTGCTCCCGATGAGTAACTGAGTCTTCCCAATGAAAGGAATAAGTAATTTCTGTCCTTTGCATTAGTTTGGAAAGAGTCATGGAGCATCGAGCAAAACAAGCTGATATAATGCTGTTTAATTGTGTTTTTGTAAACACCTATAGAGGCACTTCTAAGAACTCTCAAATAACTTACATCATTCTTTAAAATTGTTTTTAATATTTTTATTTATTTTTGAGAGGGAGAAAGAGTACAAGTGGGGGAAAGGCAGAGAGAGAGGGAGGCACAGAATCCATAGAAAGGTCCAGGCTCTGAGGTGTCAACACAGAGCCTGACATGGGGCTCGAACTTGTGAACTGTGAGATCATGATCTGAGCCGAAGTCGGACACTTAACCAATTGAGCCACCCAGGTGCCCCTAACTTATATGGTTCTTAGTGAATCACTTTTTAACTAAACTGAAGGTAATCTATTGTAACTGAGTACTAATTTTTTATTTATTTTTTTTTAAATTATTGTTTGGCACTTGGCTTTTTTTTTTATTATTGATTGATTGATTGATGTCCTAATTTTATTTTTATTTTATTTTATTTTATTTTTTAAAATATAATTTATTGTCAACTTGATTAACATACAGTGTGTAACGTGTGCTCTTGGTTTTTGGGGTAGATTCCCGTGGTTCACTGCTTACACACAACACCCAGTGCTCACCCAAACAAGGACCCTCCTCAAAGTCCATCACCCATTTTCCCCTCTCCCCCACCTCCAATCCACCCTCACTTTGTTCTCTGTATTTAAGAGTCTCTCATGGTTTAAATTCCTGTTAGTTAACATACAGTAAAATATTAGTTTCAGGTGTACAATTTAGTGACTAAACACTTTCATACAACACCCAGTGCCCATCACAAGTGCCCTCCTTAATCTCCCTCTGCTATTTATCCCATCCAGCCAGCCACCCCCCTCTGTTAACCATCACTTTGTTCTCTATAGTTAAGAGTCTGTTTCTTGGTTTGTTTCCTTCTGTTTTTCCCCTATGTTCATTTGTTTTGTTTCTTAAATTCCACATGAGTGAAATCATACGGTGTTTGTCTTTCTCTGACCTATCTTGCTTAGGATAATGCTCTCACTTCATCCATATCATTGCAAATGGCAAGATTTCATTCTTTTTTTATAGTTGAGTAATATTTCAGTGTGTGTGTGAATGTGTGTGTGTGTGTGTGTGTGTTTGTGTGTGTGTCACATCTTCTTTATCTATTCATTAGTCGATAGGCTTTAGGCTATTTTCATAATTTGGTTATTGCAGATAATGCTATAACCATATGTCAATACAAAGGACAAGATGAGTAATATAGTATTCTCCCTTTTACATTTTTGTTTTTAATATTGATATGAACCTTCACTAAGTATGCAGAAAAATATTTTCCTCTAAAAGTAGTATGAAATGCTTTACGTTAATTTTTTAAAAAAATTAAACTCAAATACTTAAAGGAGTGAATTAATAAATATTCCCATAAAAGCAAGATATACTGTCTTATTCATCTTCGTCTTTCTTATTGAGCATATGGTGTGAATTAGGTAAAAATTTATTAAATTTGTCACTAAATATTTCTTAGCAGGTATAATACCTTTTATTCAAATATATCCTCAGAGAACAACCCACAGCCTTTTAACTACCACATTTATAACTAAGATTAGAGAATTATTTAATATTTGTAGATTGTGTCTATACAGCACAGGTGTAACTCAGTACTAGCAAAGATCTAGGTGATACCAGGAAAATCACTGTATAACAGAAGGGAGGAAAGAGGGAAATTTAGTCTTGAAAATGTTCATTCATACACTGTAAAGGAGAACATAGTTTTGATGAATCCTTAATATAGGTCCTCAATGCCTATTTGTCAAATAATTATTAATGATGTTGCAAAGATTGATCGGGATGGTCATGATGGTGATAATGGATGATGAGGGATAATATGTTACTGCTCTTGACTATCACAGATGTTTGTGTACTTTCTTTCTAGAAGTTTCCTGGGAAAGACTGGTGAATTAAAACCTATCATTCATCTCCTGATATAGCTACTATTCACCAAAGCATTCTTAAGATAAAGCGTTTGGTATTGAATGGGTGCTGAACGTTATCATTTTTAAAATTTTTGACTATCTTTTAATATTTAGTTTGCTCCAGTGTTGTACAGCCTTAAAGAAAACGCCTGAATGAATAGCTGAATGAAAAAGAGAAATCCTTTTTTTTTTTTCTTCAAAATTGGGCATTTACTGTTAATGCCTCCAAGAATAGGAACATTCTGTCCTTTTTATAACTTTGGATGTACATATCACTCTCTTTATGCTCAGGAGAGATTTCCTTCTAACCATGTAACCATCCTTCTAGCCTTCTAACCATCACCAACATAATTTGGATTGTCTTTAATGTTTTCTTTGCCACTGAATCCTTAGGTTAATTCAGTCTTGAGGCCTTGGGGTGCTCCTGTTGTCTTAATTGCAATTATTTTTGGTTGCTCAGTTTCTCAAATACTCTGTCCTAACTTAAAGTGTTCCTCATGCTGGTACATAGTTGTTGATTTTAAATAGCAATGCAAGTTACTTACAGCCTCTAGAGTTCAGTAAGCCGTCAAACCTTTTAGCTTTTCTATTGATAACCTAATCATGAAATTAATGCATCTATAGTAAGCAGATGAGCTAATGTAAGCAGTGTCATGTTTTCTCTGGTGCACAGATCAATAAAGCTATCATAATGACTTTCAGTTCAATCATCTTGCTATTGGAAATGAATATAGCTTTTAAAATAGATTTTTAAAATATGTATCATTTGCACTGAGAGCTATACTGTTGCCCACCATTTTGGTTATAGTAGTTACGTCATTTCCAGTGACAGCCTATATTCACAGAATCATTGAGGAATGCCAAATTCTAAAGGAAAATGGAGTCCGCAGATGAAAGACATGACCTTGCGCTCTGTAAAACAAAGATGCTAGATTCATACTGTCTTATTTTCCAGGTGCATATGTGCTCCAGGTCAAGGCCACCGACGCGGATGACCCGACCTATGGAAACAGTGCCAGAGTCGTTTATAGCATTCTTCAGGGACAACCTTATTTCTCTATTGATCCCAAGACAGGTAAATTTTTTATTAGAGACAACATTATCACCACCCCTTTCAAATATTTAAACTATAATTAAATCTTGGCATGAGAAGTTACCTATTCTAAAAATGCAATAAAGATTCAATGTGCTGTACATTAAGCCAAAGAAGATAGGATCTTACCTTGCTGCCATAGAATGATGTCCTCTAGATTGAATTTTGTGTAAATATAAGGCATTTCACATGTATGTGTCAAGTCCCAATACCAAGATAAGGATTCTCTATGTGTTTTATTTTAATTTTTTCAAAAGCCTAGGCATATTTGATTTTGGGTTCTTCTGGAATTAAAGTAGCTATTCATTTCAAGTTTTCTTGATTGGGTTCAATTATAGTTAGTTTTGGGTCTTATCAACATGTGGTAAGATCACAGACCTTCTACTGCTATATTTACCAGAGGTTATGGATGTTTGATTTGGATTAACATAGACTTCTACTTCTAGCAGGGAAACGAAGAGGGTTGACAAACTTTAAACACCCAGATCACGATTCTTCTGGTCAATGCTTTTGAAGCTACTCTCATTTTGAGGTCAAAACATTTGAATGGAAGTTTTCAGAGCCAAATGTATAAGAATCTTTGGAAAGTATAGAAAAGACAGGATATTATGCACCAGAAGATTTTGTATTCCCTTGTAAATAAAATGAGGTCCCTCTGTTCTAGAGAATCTGTTTTTTGTATGCTAGATATTTTTTTAAGGAGATTTAGCCATGCTGACCAGTGATCAAAGTAGGTGTCCCATGTCACAGTTGAAATAGAACTCCACAGTGACAGCTATTTTATGAACTCTTGTATGTTACATTATAATATATTGCATTTTGAATTCAATACTATTTATTACATTAGGTTAAAATAATGAAATGAACTGTTGACATACTTAACTAATGTTACTTTTTAAATTTCTAAATAAATTTGTAAAGAGCTGTATCAATTTGAAATAAATTAATTTCAGACACTCTATATGCAAAGGAGCTAAACATTTTAAAATTAACACTTCTCCATAAATGTGTGCTAAAATCTGGAATACCAATTAGATATAGGTTAATTAATAAATTAGCCATGTTTTAATGTCACCTAGAAACATAAAGTCAATTAAGTGGAAACGGAACCTGCAAAAACTTTCTACAACTGAACCTGCTGTCTTCTCATTTCTTGCTCTCCTTGTTGATGCCATAGAGGGACAGAGGTCAGCAAAAAGTTATAGGAATAAGGCAGGAAGTTGCTCCCTTTTACAAGCCTAAAAAAAGAGTAGTTTGTAATAAGGACAGCATCAGTCTTTTGAGAAGGGAACATCAGTGCTGAAGAGTATCTAGAAAAGTTTAAGACATAGAAGCTCTTCTGGTTTGGAAAGAGGGTCAGAGACCCAAACCCAGAGGAGTCAATTGTTAAGAGCGAATGCGTGATGGAGAAATTACACCTACAATGTAAGTTATTTTCATTAAGTCTGGCATTGAGGATATGATATTTGGCAGTATCCGTGTTAAGGCACTTTTAACTGGGAAATCATATGTATTTGTAGAGAAAACAGGGAAACATTATTGAGGAGAGAATTTGGGGCAGTTGTTTATTGAAGTTTATGATGGCACAAAATTCCAGAAGGGTGAAGACAATTTATAGACAAATATATAGACAAATACCTCAATATATAGACAAATACTGAAGGAAAATTATCTAAAATATTATAAATCCTTTCATCAGATGAACACATTATGCGTTACTTCTTCTATGATTACCCATATTTTCCAAATTTACCATAATGGATAATCTAACTAGAAACTAGTGTGGGCAATGTATGTGTCTTAGATCTCTTCAGCCTCCGAGAAGCACTGCTCAGAGTAAGAGGGGATGGACAAAGGAGAAAAGAAGGTATGTAGAGATTGGTGGAGGGGAGGTTCGATATTAGAGTACACTTAGTGGGGTGTAGTGATTAACTCTATAGACAGAGTAGGTAAATTTATATACTCAGAATAAGTGTAGCAGAAGAAAGATAAAGAAATGATTATTGATGGAATAACTATTGATGTACTGAGTATCTAACTAAAAAGTATGGTAAAATCATATAACGATGAATTTAAGTAGAGATCATGGATTAAGCATAGAATTATTATAGTCAAATTAATTACTACTCAACAGACAATAATTATATGAGTCAAAACAGTTTCTGTCCCCTTGGCTTTACTTGTTCAATATCAACTTTAGATGAATTCTAAAGCCTTTGGAAAGTATTACCTTATAGGAGAGCCTGTATATTCATAGTATGCCTTTAATAACTATGTATTTCTATCTTATGCGATGCTTATTAGTTAGAACTAAAGGTGAAACAATTCTGGCATAAACAATGAAATAGATTTTTTGAAGCATTGATTTTCACTGGAGACAGAAGTCTTGATACTAACAGTGCCTCAGACCACTAGGCAGGAAAAGAGTGGATGATGGGGCCCTTCATTAATAGAATGATAACTAGTTGCTCATGCACAGCGACCATTAAGAAGACTTTTTGTCAAATTTATCACCTTGTGGTACATAAGAGTAAATCAAGAATCAAGGATAATTGCAATTTCTCAGAAATAGTCTCCATTTGTTCCAGCCGTATAGCTTCCTTTTATGATTCCTTTTGCTGTTATTAAATACAATGCATGAAAACTAATATTATCTAAAATTTTCCACATTTGAGTATAGAATACACTTTAAAATAATTTTTAAAGGAAGAGTCTCATCAGAACTTCTGGTGCCTAAATATTTATGAAGAGATAAATATAACCATTTATTATTCATTGGGAATAAGAAAATAAAAAAAATATTACCTTAGTGATATTGCTTTTTGACAAACATTCTAAAGCATCTCTACCCAAGTGAGTATAGCAAGCTTATTTATAAGCAATATAAATTGATGTGGTCTATGAAATAGATTCAGAAATAATAGTTCTCTTTAAAATTGGCTAATTTTGCAATTATTGGGCTTAACTATGAAACTATTCACTGTGAATTAAAATTCACATATATTCATATACATATACCTCAAATTATTATTAAATATTAAAACACTTCAAATGTAGATAAATCTTTAAAGCATTAAATAACATTAATATTCATTATACTTATTTATAAATCATTAAAATGCTTGTCATATTAGCATGTTATATTACATTGTGTACATTTTTATGCTTAATGTTTTTGTGCTTTAGAAAAATATCCCTAATCTATGAAACATTAAACATAGGCTTTATAATATTTTATCAAGTGCATGAAATCAGGATGCTAAACATTTTTATAGCGTTGATAATAGGATTATTTAGGAAAACAAATATTAGTATAAGTGATGGACCTCATGTCTTAATTTGCCTTTAAAATTCTTTTAAAGTATTTAAATTGTTCCCCGAATGATTTCAGAGACTCATCTGAGTTGGGTAACTAGATATTGCTATTTTGTGTATCATGTGGTGGTGATGTGCTATAATTTTCCAAATTATCTGAGCCCTAATTGAGAAAGCATCATCATTTACTTCACTTCAATACCTTTTTAAACCTATAAACTTAAATTTTTCTTTTTTTTTTTTTTTAATTTTTTTTCAACGTTTATTTATTTTTGGGACAGAGAGAGACAGAGCATGAACGGGGGAGGGGCAGAGACAGAGGGAGACACAGAATCGGAAACAGGCTCCAGGCTCTGAGCCATCAGCCCAGAGCCCGACGCGGGGCTCAAACCCACGGACTGCGAGATCGTGACCTGGCTGAAGTCGGACGCTCAACCGACTGCGCCACCCAGGCGCCCCTAAACTTAAATTTTTCTTGTGATAAAATATACATCACATAAAATTTACCATATTGACCATTTTAAGGGTACAGTTGAGTGGCATTAAAAATATCCACATTGTTGTGCAAGCATTGCTACCACCCTTTTCCAGAATTTTTCCATCACTATCTTTTCATGTATGTGCATTGTCGAAAACAATGTGTAAGTTTTTATTTTACGTATTTACATGTGCATTTCTAGAATCCATATGAAAACAATTGAGTGGGTCTTAGAGTTGAACACATGAGCTATATATTTGTCCCTTTTATTCACCATTCTGATGTTTCATGCTCTGTAATTCTGTCCTGGCTTATGTTTAGGGAAATCTGATAAGTGTCGCTGAGAGAACTGACACTTTGTCAAGAGTTTTACTCTTTGAGTCTATCACCTTTGATTCAGTAATTGTAATCGGCACGCCTCTATGTCCTAAGTGAAACCTCCTTACATATTCTGACTGATGTTTATTCTTACAGGTCTTCAAAACTGTGTTGGTGTTTTAAAGCCCCATAGTATAATTGAAGCATGGGTTAGACTACATTTTGAGCTAATTCTTGATACTAGTATATGAATATTTACAATGTTTTGTGGTTTGAAATGCCTTTGATATTTATTCAGCATCGAGTCTTTAAGGATTCAGACACCTGAGCACTGAGGTGCCCGATGAAACAAAGATAGAGTATCTTCTTTCTTCAAGGGGAAAATAAGAGTGTTTACCTACACAAAGTCATCGTGCCTTTAATATGTTTTGCACGAAGACGAAGTCTGATTGTGGACCTGTTGAGAGCAAGGAAAGCAATAGGTGCTGATAAATATAAGGGAGAAAAATGTGTCACGGAAATAGACGATTAGGAAGCAATTGTATCACATATTACCTATTTTGTAATGTTTTGCATATGAGTAGTAAAACTACATGTCTCAAAATGTGCCCCAGTGAATGGTTCCCTTGTATTCTGCATCATCTCACTTCCCAAGAACTCTGCATGAACTCCACTTGCCTTATTTTAGAAATCACGGATTGCACACATCAGCAGGTAGAACTGAGGATGTTTGGCCTTGAAAGGAAAATACTCCGGGGACATGTGATACATGCCTTTAGTAAGTCGTAGAGCTGTTATGTAGGAGAGAAACAGGCTGTGTTCTGTGCTGCTTGAGAGGAAACTGGCTATCAATGGCTGGTGTGAGTTACAG